GCCAATTTCACACTCAGAGAGAAAAAAAAAAAGTCTCATAACTGAGACTTAATTTCTCACAATTATGACTTTATTTCCCATTATTTTGACTATATTTCTCTCACAGTGAGAGCATAGGCGGAGCGTGCCTGGCCACGGGGAAAAAATGCCACTAAATTGGACAAAAATGCCCCTGCACAGACAAATTAAATCTATTACGTCTGTTGCTAACAAAGTGAATATGAATAGACAGTGTCCATTGCACCATTAAATTAAGATCTGCTCATGTTGCAACGTATTTCATTTTAGGCGTTTTTACAGTGTTGCACAATTTAACCAATCACACACATATCTGTTGAGTTTAGGAATGCAATAGCCAATCAGAAGTGTTCAGATGAGTCATCGTTCAAACTCATCCGTTTTGTTGAGTGCGCACGCGTTCGCTGACTGAATTCTGGACTCTTGCGAATTCTCTCATCATAAACAACAAAGCGCAGATGTACGTACAATGTAAGTAAGAGACCGATGAGTTTTGTAAAAATCGACGCGTTTCAGAAAGGCGGGGCATAGAGGAGAAACAATAATGTACAGTATGTGGAAAATAATGTTTTTTTTTTTACCTTAAACCGCATAAACACATTTCATTACACCAAATACACAAAATAATGTTCTTTTTATCAGCATCATATGACCCCTTTAAACTCACGATAGATCAATGTTAGTGATAAATTTCTATATATAATTTATTCGCTGTTTGAATAACCGTGGAAAGGAAACCTTAGCCTATATAATTATCAATTTCTAAAGTTTTTAATAAATTGTAATCACGTTAAATACAAATTCAGTCCCATTAAACATTTTTTTAGCCTACATGCATGACACCCATGTCTGGTTCTTGCCTAAAAAGACGGGTTTATGATGTTTAATACATTTGGCTGCTTTTAGCCTTACCCTGGAGTTGGTTCACCCTCCGCCTATGAGTGAGAGTATTTCTTTTTTTTAGTTTCACATTTTTCATTTTACTCTGAGACAGAAACAGGTTTCACATACCTGGTTATGTGGTCAAAATAATTTCCACAAAGCATTTAATTCTTATTATAGGCACAAGAAACTTTGTGATTATGTGTAATCGTGTGTAACTTTTGAAAAATATGCAGTTTCATTTTGAATGTCAGCACTAAGAATTCAACTGGAAAGTGCAACAACAATTTGCAACATGGGAACATTTCATAATGTCAGAAAAACATTTGAGACCCAGGAGACTTTTGAGTCAAATGAAAATTCTCCAATGCTACAAAGCCATTAGCTTTCAAGCTTCCATTTGTGTATGATTTATTGCCCTGCGACAGATGCTTGAATCATTTTCAGCTTTGACAGTGAACAGGTTTACAACTACAAACACTTCAACTGTATATAAATCATCAAGACTTTATATGGTTTTCATGAAGCAGAATGCATAAACCGATGTTATTTGTAGTACAGATTGTTGTAATATATTTAATTTCAGGTAAACAAGGTTAGAGAAAGTTGTTAAAGTTGCTTCAAATAGGTCTATATGTACATAACCACAGCATAAAGACACAGTTAAGATACTCCAGCTATATCGTCAATGCCTACAGTATCTGTTCACTGTGTAGTCAGATATGATATACTGTATTCGTTTAACATGCAGCCTGCATTGTGTTGGTAAAGCAACGTCCTCTGAAATCTGAGCATGATGGATGTTTTTGTGCTCTTTTTGCTAGTTTTACCTTCAGAAGTCATACAGTGTATTTCAGTGCATGCACAGGGTCACCTTCCATTAATGCTAAGTGACGAGGTGATTTTAATGGCCACATATACAGAGCTAATGAAACACAAGAAGGCAAAGCAGCGTGGGCAGCTTCCCTTTGTTAGATACGCTGTAATCTGTCAGAGAGTGACAACCCTCCTGAAGGCATGACATAATAACTTTACCCTTGAACCACAGACACATGCATTCTTTCAGACGTTTGTATATGCTGTTACTGATTCAAAGTGATCACGCCAATACGAAGTCGGTGGGATCATCAATATTATCCAGAGGAAATGGAATCCAGGGACACCTCAGTAAAAGTCAGTGTCTCAGTAAAGGACTCCATACACCTGAGAACAGGCACAAATTTATATTGTAAAAAGGAAAAACCTGAAAAAAGTGCATCATTCTATGATGATGTTGTGTAGGCAACAGCTTTGATTTTTGTGGTGAACAATTACGAGTAACGTGCTGTTTGTGGCACTAGTGATGAAATTGTGGGTATATGCACTTCAGTTGCAGTTTGCATTGCAAACCTAATCTACAATGTTTTACCCAGTGGAAATATGAAGATTGAGGCTAGTTTTCACACCTTTCCACTCTAGTGAATAAATCTCAGGGAAGTCCATTTCTGTATAAACATAAACATCAAAGTCTTGCCAAAAGAAAAAAAAAAGTCTAACCACAATTGTTAAACACAAAACATCAAATATTTTAATAATTGCAGGATTTTAATAATAAGATTTTATTATTATTATTTTATTTTTTATTAATTTTTTGCAAAATATAGGGATGGGTAGGATTTTTTAATGTTTTTGGGGAAAAAAAGCCTCTAATTCTCACCAGGGCTACATTTGTTTGATCAAACTTATATTAATAACTGTAATATTGTGAAATATTATTACAGTTTAAATAACTATAGCATCATATTACTCATAATCTGTCTTGTCACATGATCCTTCAGAAATCATTCTGATTTGCTACTCAAGAAACATTTATTTTTTTATCAGTGTAGAAAAAGTTGATTTTTTTTATTAATAAACATTTTGAAAAACAGCATTTATTTAAAATAGTTTTTGTGATCTTTATTGACACTTTTGATCATTTTAATGCATCCTTGTTGAATAAAGGTGTTAATTGGTTAAAAAAAAAATGTTGCTGACCTCAAAGGTTTGAACAGCAAACCTTTTTCCATCCAATCTTTTTCCATTCATCTTCATTTTAGCTTGTTTGCCTTCCTGAGAGACAGAGAAATCAGCTCTCCTTTGGGTCAAACTGAAATCTGCAGTCATGCAGTGTATACGACGTGAAATGCATCACATTGTGTTTGTGTTTTGATGTAACAGCCCATTAGGTGGGTGCAGCCCTGACTCTGGAGATAGGTTCTATCAGGGGGCATAATCACTGGGAAGTGTTTAATTAATTGAGGATTCTCAGCTGGCTGAGCAGCCAGTCGGCTTTTATCTCCTGTTTGTGAAAGGCTCATAACTCAAACTCCGCTCTGTGCTTCATTCACCGCTCTGCAGGGGGCTGTGCTTGTATTTTAAAGCTGGTTCCACAGGAACCTTAATGTTTATAACCAATAACGGAAATGCTCGAATTTTGTGATGCATACAGATGGTTGCTCATATTCTGCATTTTTATAGACAAACAGGATGCCAGTGGTTCTAAATGGGTTATTGCCAAATCCAAAGGAAAACAAAATTAAACACACACATAAAATATTTTAATTAGGGGTATCCAGTATGTACAGTGCTTTAGTCAGCACAATAAACTATGTTACCTGATATTAAATGTTTTGGTCTGAGAAATGATCACTCAATTTATTATCATTCTAGTCGGGCAAAAATATTTTCTTTTATTATTATTATTATTACTTCCTCTTTTAATACATGTTAACTTTACACCTTTAGGTAAGCAATTCATAGTCTGATTCTTCTGTGGCACAAAAAAACACAACATTTTAGCACGGTTTACATTCCCTGTCCCTTGCTGGCGTACTCTCTCTGAGGGCTGTTAACCAATCCGCTTTAGCCAAAGTTGAGATTGTGGTTTTTTTGGACTCCTTTTTGGTGGATTAGCAATGCTCTCTCTCTGTAATGGAAACTGAGGTTGTTGCTAGCATAGTCAGTTTGGTGAGATTGGAGTAGTTTTGCTGAACAAGCTGATCTGTCACTTTGAGGAAACACTTTTTCATGGCTTGAAAAATGCACAGAACGCAGCATTGTGTTGAAGGCAAGCAGTGGTAAGCACCTCATCTCATCATTGCTTGAGATGGGAGAAGAGGTGGATCAGTGCAAATCAATTAAAGAGGTATGGAAAAGTTTTTGTGTGGTGATGGTGTGGTGGAAAAAGACTTGAGTTGGCAATCCAAAAGTCCCATCTAGAGGTTGATTTTATTCTTATCCAGCTGCAAATACATGGTTTATAAATAATACATGGTTTTCAATTTTGAAATGCTTTTTGTTCTTTTTTTTATATATATAGGCTAGTTTATGGCCATTTTGTCTGCTTGAAGAATATTTTCATGATGTTGCTTGAACAATGTTTTTGTGATCTAAGCAGGATTATACTGCCTCCTGCTGGATATACTGAATCATTTCATCTGAAGTGAAGTCTAAAAAGTAGAAATTACGAGTTAGAAAATCATAGTTCTGATATTATTAAAAGTAATGATTTCGACTTTTAAAGTCAGAATTCTTACTTTTTAATTATTATAATTATAATTGATCATTATAATTTACCTGTGATTTTTTTTTTCTCCATGTTTTTATGTGGCGGAAATTGGCTTCCATATATTGTTGAGACGCTTAAACAGCAGAAAATAAACTCGTGATGATTCTTCTTTCAGGTGTAGTGGTGGCTGGTAAACCGGTGTCGTGAAAGCTCACTCGTGATTCCCTCTCTGTCACGCTTGATTCTCAGCGGACAAATCAAAACATTGAACAAATGAACTTGAACTTCCTTGTTTACTTGGCGAGAGAAGCTCAAGCAGCAGAATGACGGGGGGGGTGGGGGGGTTCGTGTTGTGGGTGTACTCATAAACAAGCACAACCTAACAAATCCAATTAAATAACAGTTAATCTATGCAATTATATTGTTAATTAATATTTAGAAGAAGAAAAACATATTTTAACCTTTCCTTAAAAATAATGCATACATATAACTGTATCTCAGCACCCCTTACATTATGGTACATTCCGTCGCGAAGCTTATTTCCGCAGGGAATGACTGAACGTTTAGAAAACTTCGCGGAAAGACAATGAAGCCAATATCAGTTCATGACATTGTTGTTATATCTTTATTTCTTTTCTCACAGTTTGTTCGAGGGGTAAGAATGAATGCGTTTCCTGCACCAGAGTGATCTGTTCTTCATTATAAAATGTATCAGGCTGTTTTGTGAGCTGGTTCACTTTGAGCTGGTGTCACGCTTTACTCACTACTGTCTGTATTTGCAGCTGGAGGATTGCAGAAGTGGAATGTATCCACCTAAAGGACCAACGTACTGCTGTTATTCTCTTCAAATATCCAATTTGATGTGCTCCTATATTTCACATGCTCTGTGCTCTGGACTATGTGGAGCTCATATGTTGATTTTAATAACACGTTCATCTTCTTGTTTGGTTTATCTAGGTTTAAAGGTAATGTGACCTGGTACACTGTTAATCTCGATTTACCTCCTAGTGAGAGATGGACGCAAGTGATCAAAGATAAAAACACAGAGGTAAGACTCTTTAATAATGTGCATGTCTCTTAAAGGCTTTGATTGTTTTTACAATAATCATGTTGCATTACAGTTGATCACAATGGTACAAACAATAAAAGACCTGGCCAAGGACTTTTTTGATGGAAAACTTGTTGATTTAGTAGACGAGGAGCTGGTAAGCAATTAAATGTATGAATGAATTTAGACCTCTTAAAAATGCATTTTGAATATTTTGATAGTATATTTTTTGATGTCTTATTATTTTGCTGTGATTTATGTCCTCGCTGTTTTACAGCCTTTGATTGTGGATACACTTCCACAACCTTTCAGTGATGAAATCAAGGGAATAGCAGCGGTTTCTGGCATCCCTCTAGGTGATATTTTTCCCTTTTGATTATTTTTGATTTTGTTGTTATTTGCATTTTATTTGTTAAATAATAATTATGGTAAATGCAAGCAATCTAATAAAATTAAAGCTCAAACTAGCTCCTTAATTATGCTTAAATGTCCCCATTTCTTTAAAAAGGTATTGCAACTGTAATTTATCATTTTTATATTTTTGTACATTTATTTTATGTGTCCCTCTAGGTGAAATTACACTGTTCAATATCTTTTATGAGGTTTTCACTGTTTGCACATCAATTGTTGCAGAAGACTTTAATGGTGAGAAAATATATATCAGTTTGCATAATGTTTTAAATCAAATTTAATTTTAATAAACATTTTATTACATATATTTTATTTTTTCTAGGAAATATTTACCATGGCCGGAATTTGGACTTTGGACTGTTTATGGGGTAGGATTTTTATTTTATTTTTTTTTTTTTTGGCAAATATTTAGGAAATAATAGGAAAAAAGATCTGCACACTGTTACTCTCCCTAGTGGCAACGTTTCGGTCAAAGACCTTCATCAGGCAAGGTCTTTTTTTTTTGCCTGACGAAGGTCTTTGACCGAAACGTTGCCACTTTTAACTTTTTTTGAATAAAGGGAGGATAACAGTGTGCAGATCTTTTTTTCCTATTATTTGATGTACCTTTTGATCTTGCACCTGGCCAAGACATTTTTGGATGTACGTGCATACTCACTTTATATCATGTCATAAGAATGATGTGTTTTTCATAAAGGTGGGATCGACAGAATAAATCATGGACTTTAACAGAGAAGCTTAAGCCTCTTGTGGTGAATGTCAATTTCCAAAGAGACAACAAAACCGTCTTTAAATCCACAAACTTTGCTGGATATGTTGGCATGCTCACTGGAATTAGACCTGTAAGTGAATAAAGATTTTTTTTTTAAATATGCTTCTTTTTTGTGTAAATGTAAAACAAGTAATTGTTTTACTTGTTTAGGGTGAATTCAGTCTAACAACGAATGAGCGTTTCAACCTTGATGGGGGTTATGTAGGTACGATTTTTTTAAAGGATTATGACAAATGAAATGTAAGTGACGGGTATATAAACAGTTATTTTAATGTTTAAAGTTTGTGAAGAACTAACACTACACAACTCTACATATTTATTTCTTCTAAACATTAGCTACAAATCATGGGTGCAACTAGATGTTTTTGATGGTTGACTGGTTAGATAACATCATAAATTCTCACAGGGATTCTGGAATGGATTTTTGGCAAGCGAGATGGAATGTGGATGGGTTTTCTCACTCGGAAAGTTCTGGAAAATGCTACCAGGTAAAAACAACACCACACTAGCGTAACATGAAAGCACAACTTCCTTATTTCTCCGTCATGACCACATAGTTCTCACTCACACACTTTTTTTGTAATAATTAAAAAATAGCTTTCATCAGCTAAAGTTGTAACCTTCACACTCTGAAAAAGGCACCATGTGTAGATAAAAAAAATTATTTTTATTTTAAAAATATTAATATTTGTGACAATATGTGATACTCTTGTGACAAGAGGACACGAGCACTCATCAGTCTTTCTTTTTTATTTTTTTTACTTGCAGTTATGAGGATGCCAAAGGCCAGCTCTCTCTGACGAAACTGCTTGCACCCGCTTACTTCATCTTGGGTGGTAACCGAACGGGTCAGGGTTGTGTGATAACCAGGACGAGAATAAACACATTAGACATATGGGAGTGAGTAAATCATATCACACAGAAGTACCAAATTTCTGTCTGCAATGCTTTAAACTGCCCTAAAATTTGTTGTTGATGTTAAAGACTTTATATGAAGCTTGGGAGATGGTACGTCCTGGAAACAAACTATGATCACTGGGAAAAGCCTATGATATTTGATGACCGCAGAACACCTGCAATGAAGTGCATGAATCAAACCACACAAGCGGTATGTGGCATTTTGTGTTAGAAGTAAAACGGCTATGTAGTAGTAATTAAGAGAGTAGGTTAATTAGTTTTTAAGTGCTTTTAAAATAATGTGCATATTTAGTAACTAATTGTTCATGAAGATGTTTTATAGAAGATAACAAATTGTAATTTCCACAGAATATTTCTCTGGCATCAATATATGATGTTCTGTCTACAAAACCGGTTCTTAATAAAGTAAGTCTTCCTTTCAGTTGAATTAACAACAGCCTTACACTTACATATATCATACTTATATTTGGTTTATTTTAATTTTTTTAATTTATTGTTCTTTCTTTCTTTCACTATTTTTTAGACGGAGAGACAAAAAGGGTGTTTGATCACATTTCTGCATCTGGTCTAATGTCATATAATAATGAAGCCATTTTCTATGTCTTTACAGTTGACAACCTACACGTCACTGATGGAAGTGTCTACTGGATCTCTGGAGTCTTATATCAGAGATTGTCCAAATCCATGTACGCCATGGTGATCTGCCATCAAATCTGAATTAACTAAGGCATATGAAATACTGTTCTGGATATCTGTCATTACAGGGCGGTGTATAAGAAAAGGAGGATGTTAAAAATCATAATGGTTGCAATTCTATCTCTGAACTTGCACATATCTCTTCACATGGACACGTCTGTTGTAACTGCTTTACCACTGCAGCATTTGTGCAATTGTTTCAATTTTGCATAACAAACTCTGAATAACCACACATTTTAAATGGAAATGTTTTTTTTATATATTTTCTTTGAGTGTTGCCTTTTTCTTTAATATTTTGATGATATAAGGAAATCAGTTTTTCTGAAACCCTTGGTAATGATGCTGAAAAGTATTTTTGTAATTTATACTGACATTTTATGTGTCTCTTGCTGGGACTGTGTTGAATGTGTAAGTGGAGGTATTACGAGTTACAAACAGTAATAAAATGTTTCATCAACAAAGGCTAAACTGAATTTGATGTGTGTAATTTTAATCCTTTTTACACCTACAATTATTAAACTGATGCAGTCCAGTTACAATGTCTCTGTTGGAGGTCTACTTTTGCAGCTAAATGTTAATACATTCAGTATATTTCTATTAGTCATTCAGGTAAGTTTATTCCCTGAGACCCGGAACAGTAGGCCTATGCTTGATTTCAGAGGCAAACTTACATTAAGTGGTGGCCCCAGCCAAAATTAATAAATAAGACCCTTTTTGTTTAAATATAGGTATTAGTTACCTAGAGAAATAATTATATAACATACATTGTAAACTTTTGGGGCTTAGCACAAATCTTGGCAAGTGGACATTTTTCCCCATTTACGGCAGCTATAATATGAACTTGTGTTTCTCATAGGAATTTATGAGACTATCCTTGGTCTTTAGGGTGAAAATTTATATATCCAAAGTCCCGATCTGAATCAAAAGATTCACGAACCCGCAACGAAGTTCCAATCTAAATCAAACGATTCATAATACACGCTCCAAAGTTCGAACTGCATAATGATTATCAAACCATTATTCAGGTCTGAATCAAAAGATTTGCAAACCCGTTCCGATGAAGGCTGCGTTCCAGTCCATTTTTTATGCCCTTCACTCGCAAACTTCCCTCGGTTGTGGCTAGAAGGGATACAACCAGTGCCGATCCTAGACTTCTGGTTCTGGGCAGAGACGATCCTCTCTATACACAAAATACGCAAGCTGCGTAGGGCCCCCGAAACATCTGGGGGCCCCTTTGCTCTCAAAGATTATTTAATTTTAGTTTCGTTTTTGAATTTGGCCAGCGATTATGAAAACATGAATGACAGAGTGAAACATGGACGAATGTGTTTCATTCATTCGTTTATAACCACTCATACCCCACTCCACCACCGACACAGTTTTGCGTAGGACCCCCAGAAGCAGTGCCGATTCTAGACTTCTGGGGGCCCTAGACTTCTGTGTAATTTTATCTATCTCAACCAGTAATTGGTGGGCGGAATTAGTGTAAATAGCTTCTGCCAACAAGGTGGACTATTGCACTTAGTGTAAATAGACACTTTGTTAATATTAACATTTCAGATTATTTAAATGATCAGCCCTTGGGGCGGCCCTCAAAATGCAGGGCCCCAGGCAATTGCCTGCTTTGCCTGCCTTATTGCTACTGTACGCCTCTGCTTGATTTAAATTTAACTAGAAAACAAATTGCAGCAGGTTTCTTTTATGTGTTGTGCATATGCATGTCTATCATCAGCAAGATAAATTATTCTTTTAATGGTTTTACTTTTGGAATGAAACTCCCTCTCTCTCGCTCTCTCTCTCTCTCTCTCTTTAGGATCAGTGTGCCTCACACATGTTTTTCCCATTTTGTTTTTATGGGTGTTACAAATCAGGTATTCGTCCCTGCGTATCAGACATTCTTTAATCAGGATTGTTCTATTTATTTTGTAAACAAATATGCACGTGTTTTAGATTTACAGAGAATTAAATGTGTGCATCAATGTAAATTACAAAGAATTCTTTTTTTTTATGTAAAAAACATTTAAACTTTAAGGACCATTCATTTGTTTTACTTGAATTTTACTTGAACAAATTTAAGGATTGAGATCAAATGTCTCAATTTTTTATTCATTTACAGAAGATTTTCAGTCTTCTTTGTGACGTCTCGGGAGCTGTTTGTAGTTATCTGCACATCTGTTTTGATCCAGAGTGACTCAGCTCAAAGCAGTGCACATTCAACCACAGGAAACTTTGGTCAGGCACCAGAACAGACCTCAGAAGCATCTGTACAAGCTGTTGAGATTGTAGTTGTTCTTTAGTGCCTAAATTGCACACTGCATGACTTGGTTTACAATCTTTTATCTTTAAATACAGCATCTACAATGTCAGTTTTGCTCATCATTTGGATGCTTTGTACTACTCTGGATTTGTCAGACTCTGTAAGTATTGTCTTAATATTTATTTTGCTTCTTTCTTATGTGTTTAAATTACATTTAGTTACACCTAAATGAAACAGTGTGTTTATACTTTATTTGTATGTTGAGTCTACAGTAGTCATTCTGTGTGTTGTGTGTTTAGACTCCTGACGAATGTGAAGATGAGATACAGCGTCTTCGAGTGGAGTTGAAGAGTTTGGAACTTCGCCAGACAAAGCAACAGCAACTTATTCAACGATTAATGAATCACAACCAGATGGATGAACATTCCCTAAAAGCGGGCTCATTTTATGACATGGGAGACAACCAGTACATGGGTCAAAGCTCTATATTATTTTCTTAAGATGTAGTATTCATTGTGTAAATATGTTATACTTGTCTGATTATAACAGCACAATGTAATACTAACAAAAATCAATCTGCCACAAACAGACTGTGCTCAGATCTTCAAAAATGGAAGCACTCTGAGTGGGTTTTACATGATTAAACCACTGCTAAATCTAACCCGGATCAGAGTGTACTGCGATATGACAGAGGGGGGTGGATGGACAGTCTTCCAGAGACGCTCAGATGGCAGTCAGTCATTTGACAGGTATGGAAAACTCTATTTCATTGATGTGAGAAGAGATGTGTACTGATTAATAAATGAAACATGATGTCTCCATGTTCATGTTTAGAGATTGGAATGATTATAAAATAGGATTTGGTGACATGAAGTCCGCTAATGGAGAGTTCTGGTTAGGGAATGATAATCTGCATTATCTGACATCTCAAGGTGAGTAAATCTATGCATCTAAAATGCATGCAAACTGAAATAAATATGTCATAATAGGCCATAATTATATGTATATACAGGTGCATCTCAAAAATTTTGAATATCGTGAAAAAGTTCATTTATTTTTGTAACTTATTTCCAAAAGTGAAACTTTCATATATTCTAGATTCATTACATGTAAATTAAAACATAAAATTGAAAAGTAAAACGTTTCAAAATATTTTTTGTTTTAATTTTTAAAAACTTTCATGAGCTGTAAGCTCAAATAATCAAAATTAAAACAAAAAAACTTTTGAAATGTTTTACTTTACATGTAATGAATTTAGAATATATGAAAATTTCACTTTTTGAAACAAGTTACAAAAAAAGAACTTTTTCACGATATTCAAATTTTTTATTACAACAACCCTACATTTGAAGAATAGATGGATATATTATATTATATTATATTATATTATATTATATTATATTATATTATATTATATTATATTATATTATATTATATTATATTATATTATATTATATTATATTATATTATATTATATTATATTATATTATATTATATTATATTATATTATATTATATTATATTATATTATATTATATTATATTATATTATATTATATTATATTATATTATATTATATTATATTATATTATATTATATTATATTATATTATATTATATTATATTATATTATATTATATTATATTATATTATATTATATTATATTATGTGTGACCCTACATAGGACAAGCAGTTTGAAGAATGGATTGATATTATATTATATTATATTATATTATATTATATTATATTATATTATATTATA